CTGTGGTGCTCTTTGCGTGACTGACCGGTGATCCTAGAATAGCCCTGTGAAGTCTTGGGGCAGGCCTCTCTAGTGCCCCTCTAGTAGGCTGGACTTTATTTTTTCAGATGAACTGGGGAGCAGTTTGGGGTTGTGCTGTTTTATGTTGGTTTTTTTTTTAAATTCGTTTGCATACAATAATTTGAATACATCGTGTTTCAGTGATGTGCACTGTGCTTTTTATACAATCTTCTACTTTCATTTTGTTTCTTATGATCATCCATGTACACTGTATTCCGTATCATTAATGACCTTTGACCCATGTCTGTTATTTCCCTGTCTTCTCCAGTCCTCATTGACTCTTTCCTATTCCTTCACCTCCCCCGTCTGCCTACCCGGCTCTTGCATCCGAGTGACTTCTGCCCCCGCCCTTGTGGACAGATGTGGACATTTGTATGCATCCTGCCGGTTACCGTTCTGTTTTTCCAGTAATGGTCTTGTGCGGTATGGACAGCAAGGATCTTCACGTTTGCCTCCAGCAGCTCCTCTTCCTGCCGCAGACGAGGGCAGGGCCTTGCGCAGGCTGACACCAGGAGGGTCAGCGGACTGGAGGATTTGAGTCCTGCTCTGATGTGCTTTCTCTACACCAGCTGCTGCCGAAGCATTTGAGGGGAGAGAGGACATCCTGTTGCCTTCAGGTTGAACTCGGACAGTGAATTGAGCAGCCAGGATCATATGGCGGTGGTTGTTTAGTGGTGTGAGTCACCTGTGACTCAGGGCGACCCTGTGAACAGATCAAAGCCGTGCCCGATCCCACGCCCTTCCCACAGGGTCTGCGGTGCTCCCGTGGGTACAGGCGCTGGCTTGGTCCATCTCATTAAGGGTCTTCTTCTCTTTCACTCTCCTTCAGCTTTTACAACCATGATGTCTTTTCCAGCGACTGGCTCCTTCTGAAGTCCATAAAACAAAGTATCATCATTCTTGCCTCTAAGGAGTGTCCTGGTTGCATTTTCTCCAAGATTTGTTGAGTGTTTTGACATCTACGATCTATTCAAAACTTGACATTTTTTTTTATTTTATATTGGGGTGCATACAAAATTTGTATACATTGTATTTCACATTGTCCCTTACTCACATTGTGCTTCAAACAACCATGCCCATTCATTGTGTTTTATATAACTACCATTGAACTATGCCCCTCATGACCCCATCTTATTAGATCCCTACAATATTTAAACTCTTGACCAACACCACAATTCAGAGGCATCAGTCCTTTTTCTGCCTTTCTGATTTGTTGTCCAACGTTCACATACATACAAAGCAACAGAGAAACACCCTGACTTTGGTCAGGCTCATCTTTATCCTTAGGACTTTAAGTGTTTCCGCAAGCAAATGCATCCCTGCGATGTGCTCAACAGTTTATATCAAGAAATTTGGAAGACAAGGTAACTGGTCAACTGAATAGAAGCTATCCACATTTGTGCCCATTTTTTTTAAAGGTGATATAACAGAATGTAACAATAGTGTTAATAACAGACATAAGTAAAATCTTGCTAAAGATTATTTAAAAAGCAGCTGCAGAACTATATTGACAGGGAAATGGTAGAAATTCGAGCTGGATTCAGCAGATGCTGTAGAACAAGGAATATCATTGCTGATGTCAGAGGCATCACGGGTGAATACAATGAATACTAGAAAGATGGTTACTGTATTTTATCACGGGTGAATACAATGAATACTAGAAAGATGGTTACTGTATTTTACTGGTTGCACAAAGGCATCTGACTGTGTGGATCATAATACATTGTTGCTGTTGTTGTTGTTGTTGTTATGTGCCTTCGAGTCATCTGCAACTCATAGCAACCCTATCTATGTACAAGAGCTCTAAACGCCGTTCTATCCCGTGCCAAACTATCCATCTCAAACACACTATTCCCACCACTCCAGTCAGAGACTCAATCCATCTCATCGAAGGTCTTCCTCTCCTTCGCCACCCATCCACTCTGCCAAACATGATGTCCCTCTCCAAGGACCAGTCCCTCCTTGCAACATGCCCAGAGTATGTCAGACGAAGCTTCAGAATCCTTGACTCCAAGGAACATTCTGGCTTTACCTTCTCCAGGTCAAACCTATTTTTTTCTCCTATCAGTCCATGGTATATTCAGCACTCTTCTCCAGCACCACAGCTCAAAGGCATCAGTTTTCTTTCTATCATCCCTAGTCAGTGTCCAACTCTCTGATGCATAACACGTAATTGCGAAGACTATAGCCCAGATCAGGCGCACCGTAGTCTCCAGCCTGATGTCGTTGCTCTTCAGTACTCTTGCAAAGTCCCTCACAGCTGACTTTCCCAATGCAATTCATCTCTTGATTTCCTGGCTGCTGTTACCAAGAGTGTTGACTGTGGGACCAAGTAAACTAAAACTGTTTACTATCTCAATCTCTTCACCATCCATACTGATGGTGCCAATTGGCCCAGTGGTGAGAATCTTTGTTTTCTTGATGTTGAGCTTCAATCCATATAGGAGGCTGCAGTCCTTGACCTTCAGCAGCAAGCACTTCAGGTCCTCTTCAGTTTCAGCAAGCTGGGTTGTGTCATCTGCATAATGCAGGTTATTGATGACTCTTGCACAAATCCTGATGCCACATTCCTCCTCGTACAGCCCAGCATCTTGGATAATCTGTTCTGCATACAGATTGAAAAGATATGGAGACAGAATACATCCCTGATGGACCCCTTTCTTGATTTTGAACCATCCAGTGTCTCTTTGCTCTGTTCTGACGACTGCCTCTTGGTCCAAGTATAGGTTTCGCATTAGCACAATCAAATGTTCTGGGATTCCCATTCTTCTCACAGTCAGCCATGGCTTGTTGTGATCCACACAGTCAAAAGCCTTTGCATAGTCAATGAAGCACAGATAGACATTCTTCTGGTATTCTTTGCTTTCTGCCAAGATCCATCTAACATTAGCTATAATATCCCTAGTACCATGACCTCTCCTAAATCCAGCCTGCACATCAGGCAGTTCTCTGTTGACATATTGTTCCAAACATTTTTGGATAATTTTCAGCAGAATCTTGCTTGCATGTGTTATCAATGATATTGTTCGGGGGAGCTCTGGTGGCCTAGTGGTAAGGAGCTGCAACTACAATCCCAGAGGCGCACGGTTCAAATCCACCAGATGCTTTGCCGGGGAAGGAGGGACAATCTCCTCCTGTACCAGTCAGATCTGATTTGACGGTACACTCACACAAAAATAATAAAATTTTTTAAAAAATCGATGATATTGTTCGATAATTTCCTCACTCTGTTGGGTCACCTTTCTTTGGAATGGGAACAAATATCGATCTCTTCTAGTCAGTTGGCCAGCTGGCTGTCCTCCAGATTTCTTGGCACAACTTGGTGAGCACATCCAGGGCAGCGTCTGTTTGTTAAAATATGTCAATTGGTATGCCATCAACTCCTGGAGCCTTGTTTTTTGTCAATTCCTTCAGAGCAATTTGAACATCCTCCTTCATCACCACAGGCTCTTGCTCATATATTATTTCATGAAATTCCTCTATGTCAGCCAATTCCTTCTGATACAGTGACTCTGTGTACTCCTTCCATCTTCTCTTGATACTTCCTGGATCATTTAACATTCTACCCAAAGTATCCTTAAGTGCCACCTGTGGCTTGAATTTATTTTTCAAGTCCTTCAGCTTAAGAAATACTGAGTGAGTTCGGCCCTTTTGATTTTCTGACTCCAGCTCTGCACATTTTATTATAGTATCTCGCTTTGTCATCTCAGGCTGCCTTTTGAAATTTTCTGTTTAGCTTTTTGATTTCTTGGTTTCTTCCTTTAGCTTTGGCCTAATGTTGTTGTTGTTGTTGTTATGTGCCATCGAGTCATTTGTGACTCATAGCGACCCTATGTACAAAGTCCTAAACCCTACTCTATCCTGTGCCAATTGCACTGCATCCCGATTACCCCAGGCACTGAATCAATCCACCTCATAGAGAGTCTTCCCCTCCTGCCCTGTCCCTCCACCCTCCCAAGCATGATGTCCCTCTCCAAGGACCTGTCCCTCCTTACAACATGTCCAAAGTATGTCAGAAGAAGCCCCAGAATCCTTGCCTCCAAGGAGTAGCCTGGTTTAACCCTCTCCAGGATGAATCTGTTTATTTTCTTGGCAGTCCACGGTACATTCAACACTCTTCTCCAGCACCACAGCTCAAAGGCATCAATTCTCCTTATACTTAATAAGCGACTCGACGGCACATAACACAACAACACATGAATACTTAATACATTACAGCTAACATTAAGAAGAATGGGAATTCCTGAATACTTAATTGCACTCATGTGAAACACACAGACAAAGAAGCAATCATTCAGACAGGACAAGGGGAGATAACTACCCAGTTTAAAACCAAGAAAGGTGTGCGTCAGGGCTGTATCCTTTCTCTGCACTATTCAGTCTATATGTTAAGTAAAATATCCTTGTCAGGCATGGTGAAGGTAGCCTATCAGTTGACAATAGTCAGCACATGGCATAAATTTGGTTTCAGGTCTGGCTTTATCCAGGGCTCAAGTAATGTCTCAAAGTTTCATTTCTTTTCTCAGCTCTCCGGTCGAGGGTGGACGAGGCAGGTCTTTTCCATGTGATCACACAATTGCCAGTGTCCATATCCTCTTTGTCTTCAAGCGAGGAAAAAGAGGCTTTTATCCCAACATTCGCTGGGTCATAGTTGAACTTTACTCTGACCTGAGCCCTCCTGGCCAAGGGTAATCAGCCTATGCAAAGTCGTGTGCTCCCTGGCATTGAATAACAGCTCTCAGTTTGTGTGAATCCCCAGCAGAAACCAGGACTGATGGAGAAGGAGCAGGGAGGGATTGGTGCCAGGAAAGCCAACACCCCCACCTGCCAAGCACACTGTGGACAAGGGGACAAAACCCAACTCACGTTATTATCCAGCATCAGCCTCCCCTCATGAACACCAGCCTCCCCCCTAACTGCCGGGCATTGCTTTATTTTAGGAATACATTGACGCCCACCCTGAGACCATTATCCTGGACCCCCTTCCTGCCATCAGGACCCTGCTGGACCGCTCCAAGTCCTACGAGCTCATCCGGAAGATCGAGGCCTACATGAAAGGTAGGAGGGACGGTGTATCGTGGGCGTCTCTGCAGCCAAGCATCCCCCGCCCGGTTGTGGACAGAGCAGCCACAGCCTGGGCCTCCAGTCCTTTGAAGCACCTCGGGCCAGAGTGTGCTTGGATTCTTTGAGAGAGAACATTCTGGAGAGAGCCTTTCTTGTTGCCTCTGAGCCCAGCAGGCCAAGGAAAGAAAGTCCTCTGTGTGCTCCTGGGGGGAGTGGCCCTGGCCACTTGAGGAGGGTTTTTGTTTCATTGTGTTGAGCCCATGGGTGGCGGGGTTGGTGGGGTGGGGATGAAAAGTCCTGCTCACACAGCACTCAGAGGACTGGGGTGTGTGCAGAATAGCTCAGCAGTGAGAGAGGGGAGTTATGTAACCCGGTGAAGGAGACAAACAAGCAATCTGAAGGGCCTTTAATCAAACACATGGAGATCTATCATGCGGCCACCGAGCCTCTTGGGGTACGCTGTGTTCCGGGGGAGGGAGCCTCCTTTTTCTTGGCTGCAAGGACTCCTGCCAGCTGCAGCCTCTAGTCCCCAGTGTCTCATCCCTCCCTCCCCCTGCCCCTCTCCAGGCAGGGCAGCCACAGAGCAGGCGATACAGCCTTTCCAAGGTGTTTGTTTATGTGAGCAGAGCTTTCTGGAAAGATTAGTGCTAACAGTGACCTCCTAGTCCCCCCAGCCAGTGCCAAGCATCCCCACTGAGAGCCTTTGTTTAATTTTAAGGATAAGTTCTTTGCCTGGGGCCCTGGGGCTATGTGAGGACTTGTCCTTGGGCTAGAGGGCCCAGACCCCCAGGCCACCCTGGTCCTGTTGTACAGGCTCTGATGGCCGAAAGGTGCTGGGTCATTCTGTAGGCCCAGTCCTCATAAGGGCAGGCTGCGTGTGGTCTCTTCAGCAGTCAGGAGGGAGTCACTTGGAAATTTTAATTTTTAAACTTTTTGTGTGATTTGAATTCTCAGTAGTTTAATATTTCCATTCAACCGTTCACACACATTTGATTTCATGCCGTTACCGTCCTGCGTCCATGGCAGCACACCTCCCACTTCTTCCCTGTGAGTCTCATTTCCATTCGTCCTTCCTGCCTTTTGCAGTTTATTCCTGGGTCAGTGCTGCCCTTTTGATCTTGTTTGGTTGATTGTCTTGGGACTGGGCACCTCTCTGGTGTTATTGTTCGCCTTATAGGCCTGCCTACTGTTTGGCTAAACAGTTGAGCCACAGGGTGAGTTCAGTTCTAGGCTCAAAGAGTGATGGAGGGTCCTGGGGGTTCTGCTGGTTCCCATCAGGCCAGCAAGCCTGGCCACTTGGGGAGTTTTGAGCCAGGGAGGGGCCTGGCTCAGCTGGGTCTTAGGACGTTCCTTCTTGTCAGTCACAAGGTGGAGGTGGGGCACAGGCGGCCGGAGGTTTCTCGGTGAGACAGTGGAAAGTTTCAGTAGCAGAGGGCAGGAAGTGAGGAAGAAGAGACTGGCCGAAGGACATAGGAGGGCTGACAGTGGACGCTCTGAGGTCCTAGGTGGACTTGCCTTCCCTTGGAAGCTCTCAGCTCGTTCACTTGGGGCTACCCCTGGCTCCGTGGAAGGGGTTCCAGAAGTTCATGGCAGTTGGGGGACCAGTCCTCGCACTGTGACCCCCAGAGAGTCTCCTGCCCAGCACGTCCTTTCACAGGTGAGGCGTTCTTCTGTAAACACTTCCTGCACTCACCAGCTGGACCTGCTCTTAGGTCAGCACCCCAGTCACAAGCCTGCCCTTCTACAGGATTGAAACAGCCCCCCAACCTCAGGTAGCACCCTGCGCAGTGCCAAGTGGATGCCCTCGGGCCTGGCATTGGGTGCAGCTGTGCGGCCACCTTAGAGCCCGTGTGTCACTAACCCAGGTGCCCTCAGTCAGGCTGTTTGCACTTCAAGCCTGAGTTACTTCTCAGGGTGGACACTGGGCTCAGTGGTCACCGAGGCAAGAGGCCCAGCTTTGTGTCCATCATGGACAGAGTCTCACTCTCTGCCTTGTGGGCTCTTGTTTCTACACAATCCAAACTGGAGGTGGAGCCATCCTAGAATCTCCAGAGGGTTATGGGAGGGGAGGCCTGGAGGACCGTAACGCAAAGTGGAATGTGCTTTGCTCCACCATACAGTGAGAGTTCCATTTCTTCTGCAGCTTTGCTGAGGGACAGCTATGTGAGCGGACCGGAGAGAGAGCTGGAGGGTGGGGGCTCTCTGTGGTGCTCGCCGGTCATCATTCAGAGCAGGAAGGACAGTGAATGCCACACACAGACGGCACACAGTTCCAGACTGCCCATCGTGACGATGAATTTAGGGAGTGAGGGACTGAGATGAGCAGAGCAGACCAGCCCAGACGTGACCTAGAGAGATGGGCTCTGATGGGTTAACGCGTGTCCTGCTGGGGGACGACTGATCCCCAGGGGTCCTGTCACAGTGTCCCTGCCCAGCCACGGGAGAGGGTCAGGTGAGGCCTGCTGTGCTCTTTGCTGGGGGTGCCAGGCAGGCCACCCAGGGGAGCGCCCCAGGACTTTGTAGACCCAGTAAGAGCCTGCAGACCAAACCCTCCAGGCATGATGCTGGGCCAGCAGGAAGTGATCCAGGGGGGGCTGGGCGTGCAGCACCCTGATGACCTTTTCGAGCCCCAAGCTGGCTTTGTGTTCTCCCAGGTAGAGAGCAGAGGTGGGTGGGTTTTCTTGTGCCCTTGCCTGACCACACAGAGCTACCTGGGGCTGCGTGTTGCCGAGCACAGGCTGGGCTCCTACATCCTCGTCCCCGGGATGCCCAGGGTGATCTGCTGAGAGAGAACCAGCCCACGGAGGTGCTTCACTGCCCCCTCTGCCTGCGTGCTCCCGGCTATTCCTGGAGGCAGGCTGCCCCCCTCAGCACGCTGTGAGCAGCCGTAATAACCCCTTAAGCTTCACGAGATAGATAATTATAGCAATCCAAGTGACACCGCTTTTGTGTCGGGAGACTCCCTCGAAGTTCTGGGTGGGGAGGGTGGCCCACACTGTTGTCACAGCACTGGGGGTTTCGGGGAAGACCAGGCTTGGGGGTCTGCCACACTACCTTCTAAAGTGAGGTGGGACGGCTTGTGTAATGTTACCCACCCTGAGAGCCTTGGCCAGAGGGGCAGCCCTGCGAGACACTCCACCTCTACTGCCACCCCACACCCTTTCAGAAGGTAAATAAACAGCCCGCAGTGGGCTTCTGAGCTTAGACACCGGCCCAGGGAAGGGAGAGGACCCCAGTGATATGCTCAGAGTTGCTTTAAGTGTGTTTGTGGCTGTTTTTTCTCATGGGTGGCCTGTTGGTGACCCCCTTGGCTACCTGAGGTTGGGTTTGGAGGCAGACGCACCAAGGCCCTGGCCGGATGGGTCCAGGCCAGCCTGTGGCCTCCTGGCCAGGCTGACAGATGGCATGTCATGGTGCTGAGGTTACGATTCAAGTTCCTGGCTTGTCCCCTTGGCTCCAGGACTGGGGGTGGTAAACTGTCTTCTTACCAGGCCAAGGGCTCAAGTTGAGGACGGCTCGGGTGAGAGGTGACTCCCCGTTCTCTGTTTCTGGAAGCCCCCCTCCCTCCCAATGGGCTCCACAGGCGACAGATGCCCTGCCCGGCCGCCAAGCCTCCGGGAGGGGCCCGCACACCACAGATGGAGCACCGCTGCCTGTGGTTTTATTGGAATTTAATCTGGACCCATCTTGGAGACTGTTTGGAGTGAGGTTGAGTAATCTAGACACCAAGTGAATCGAAAATAACATTCCTTGGAGCCCGGCGGGGCGAACTCCCCCAGAGCATCTGGTGGGGGCTGCTGCTCACAGGAGGAGGCGGCTGGCTGACCGCGCTCTGTGAGCTGTAGAGGGCCTGGGGCCAGGCAATCTTGAGAAGGGACAGGGAATGTGGCCCTTAGAATTTGCTCAGATGCAGGCCAGTGGACCAGCAGCTTCCCAGCCCTGACTGTATCGGCCCCTCGGGAAAACACCTCAAGCCTGTCATGCTGGCTTTTCTGAGACAGGAGAAAAACAACCCAACCACTCATGCCTTTCATGACTTGTGACTTCTCTCTGTCCAGCGAAGGTCAGCCTGCCCGGTCTGCAGGGCCCAGGCTCTAGGGACAATGTGGGCACAAGCAGGAGGCTTGGATATTGCCCCACCCGGGAGGGAGTGCCTTGAAGCGAGGCACAGGGCTTGTGCGTCTGTGGGGGCGGCATGGGCGACAGGACCCTGGTGCTCACGTCCGGGGCTTTGTGCTTCAGGGCGATCTCACCAGCAGATTGAAAGGACGTCCCCTCCCCGTGTGCCGTTGACTGCCAGCTTGTCCCCCTCTTCCCTAGCCTTTCCCCACCCCCAGAAGACCTTGTCTGACATTGAGAGGTTTGAATCCTGGCCCTGCCTAGAGCCAGGTAAGCCCAAACCCTTCTGAGCCCCATTTTTCCCCTGGCTGAGTGGAGGTCCCCCGATGGCCCCCAGCGATGCAGAGCCAATGAAGTGGTCCCTGGGCACTGGGACCAGGCCTCACACCGGTGGGCAGGCCCCTCTGGCCCCTTCCATCCTCTTTGCTGACCTTCCCCACTGCACCCACCATATCCCCTCTTTTCAGATGAGTAAACCAGCGCCTAGCACGTGAAGTAGTGTGTTTAAGGCTTCATGGCTCCAAGTCTTCCCAGCTTCTGACTTGACAGCAAAGCTCACCCTTCTGTCACATAAGACACCGATTTTGCAACTGATTTTCCAAGTCCTGCTCAACTCCAACCTTCTGTTCCTGCCCTCACAGCTCTATTAGAGACCATATTGCTGTGGGGGCCTGGAGCCAGCCCCCCCTCACTCATCCCAGCTAAGAGAGGACCCACTCTCCATGGATCCAGGATTGGACAGTCAGGACAGCAGAGCCCAGAGCACCGGGGCCAAGTCAGGGAGGACCACTCACCCCTGTCCCCAGCCCCTGCCCCACAGGCCCAGTCCAGTCCAAGGCCCCTTCTTTGGCGTTTTGAGGTGTGTTCTGGCTTTG